AGTTTACCTCTGTGGTCAGGTTACCTGCTGGCTAATATACCTACTGTGAGAACTCTCACCCAGTGGATACCTAGGAGCCAACCTAACTGCGAGGTCCTCTCACCTATCCGCGAGGTCCTCTCACCTATCCGCGAGGTCTCCTTACCTATCCGCGAGGCGAGATCCTCGCCGTGAGCTGTCAGCACCTCGCGGCGAGGTCTATGCCTAACCGACTTCCTCACTGCGAGCTCTTGGCAAGGTCATCACCTAACCGCGAGGTCCAAAATATGCTGCGAGCTGTCTGCGAGCTCGCTGCGAGGTAATACTTTCTCTAGCCTCCAATGCTGAAAAATATTTGTAAAAAGTTGAGGAAAATAAAATAATAAGTATGAGTGCAAAAAATAGGACCGCACGTCTCCAGACGTCCCATCAGATTTTACTTTTGAATTAGTGTAAAAAATGAGTTACAATAGATGTAAATCTTAGAAATTCGCCGGCGAGTCTCCCTGAGCAGAGAAGGGAGGTTGTGCTGTATACCCTTCTTCCCGCGCGGTGAACGCTAAGGCTTGCTCTGTCACTAAACCCTTCACACACTATTTAGGTACGAGCAAATCGGAAATTTTCGATTTTGCGGTCGTATTTTGATTTTCATGAGAAAGAAAACATCTGTAATCAATGATTTTAAACCACCATTATTTATGAGAACGTGTTTTAAATGAAGCTCCTTGTTTGTTCATAGGGTGAACTTTCCATAACAGGCGACATGGAAAATCTTGAAAATGCTCTTTTTTTCGATCTAGTTCCCTCAGAATGGGTGAAACTTGCCTATCCATCCATGCTGAATCTTGGGTGCTGGTTCTCCGACCTTATGATTCGCTTGAAAGAATTAGAGGCATGGATCAGCGATTTCGGAGTAAGGAAATTTTGTTTAAAATAATACGTTTTTACGGTGGGGTTGTACTTGTTCCGTTGAAAAATTGTGAAGTGTTTGTAAAATATCAATTTATTCACTTTATCAAAGGAGTGTTTTCTCAAAAGGATCTCGTTACAAATGACGATCTATCGAAATCGTATCTTTCTTTACCTGAAAACAAGGATATCTCTTAACCTATTTGTAGGGAAGCAAAGAGATTGCTTCGGCAAAAAAGCATATGTTTTGCATTTTTTTTTACAATTTTACAACTACGGTAAAGTCCATTCAATTCAAAGGATAAAACTTTGAATTTCACCACCAAAGAACGTATACAGGTACCTCTCAACCTAAGCGTTCGCGGATATTGTGAAATTGTGCAACAGTGCGAAAAATGCGCTTTATTGCCCGATTTGGCAACTTTTCTGGGGATCTTTTTAATACAAAGTTTAAAATCGATTTTGGCGTTAAAAAGTACGACAAATTGTCTCTTAAAAAACATGAATCTACATTGTCTAGGACCAAAATAGACCACAATTTCAGTTTGTCTGAATTACTCCGGGCACATCGACTTTGAGCTGCAGTCTGCAAGCATAGGAAAACAGTGATTTTAATATGATTTCTTCGGAGTTCTTGATAGGCAATCCGATTTTGAGGTTTATTTTGAACATTTCTCCCCAAAAAGTTGCCAATCCATGCGAATACTGCCAAAAATCGTTTTTTTCACCCCATGATTTAGCAATTTTTGAAGAAAAATGTCTCAAAATAAAGTTTAACTTCGAATTCAGAGTGCATTCTACAAAGAGGGTTTTGTAACTTTTTTGTAAAATGTTTATTTCGTACATCTTTGCACATACAAATTCAGCAATTTTATTTTACAAATTGAATACATATACATACTACTGCATAACAACAAATTAAATTCGTAATGGAATGCGTTACCTTCGCAAAATCGGCGAACTTTACTTCATCATACCAATCTTCCAGCTTCATACCTTAAAATTGCCGATATCATTTGAGGTCAATACAAGTTTTCCTACAGTTTTGTATATTCCTTAATTCCACCTTGTTTTACACTTCGGAGTACAGTGGGTAAGTACACGAAGCTTCTCCCTACATGCATCGCTCCGTTTTAACTCTAATTTTTTGCCTTAAGCAAAAAAAGGGCTGAAAACGTGGAATTGTAGCGTAACGGTGCCGGTACTCTTGCAGGCTCGGTGTGACTGCGACATGGGTTGATTTGATTGACAGGTAATCACAAAATACTATTAGAATAAATATTGTTATACATTCTCATGATCATGCCCCGTTTCTCGAATGGTGCTCGTTTCNCACAATCATGCAACGCTGTTGGATAATTTACTGGCCTCAAGTCGCCATTTTCACCCTACTGAATAAATATTGTTATACATTCTCATGATCATGCCCCGTTTCTCGAATGGTGCTCGTTTCAATGAAATCGTCGAACTGCTTAAAGGGTACTTAAAACTGATCAGTCGAGGATCACCTTCTACCATTTTGATTGACCAAAGAAGTGCTTTACGCACCGGCACCGTCACGCCATGGTTTCACGTTTTTAGCCATTTTTTGCTTCAGGAAAAAAATCAGAGAAAAGCCGGAGCGATGCTTAAAAGCTGAAGCTTCATATACTTACCTACTGGATTTTGAGGTAAAAAAAAGGTGGAATTAAGAAATTAAGAAAACTGTAGAAAAACTCGACCTCAAATGATATCAGCAATGTTGATGTTTACATAAGCTGAAAGATTGACATGATGAAGTAAAGTTTAGAGATCCTGTAAAGGTAACTTATTCCATAACTTTGCACCAGACAAACAAACTTACTTCATGGAGAAGTTGGTTGCGTCGGGTGAACTGAAAGAGATTGTAACTGGAATCAAGTTTCCAGTTTTTGGGGGTTATATCATTTATCTATGGGTTTTTCAACACATGCTCATCATCATGAGACTCCCATGAACATCAAGCTATGAGCTTTTATTAGCTATGAGCTTCATCAAGCTTTTATGAGTATTGGTAGCGAAAGATTCATCACAAATAAAATTACGTATTAATGTAATTCTTCCCTTAGAGGTAGGAAATATAGCTATCAAAATTTATAAACCTGGGGGAAGTAGATTGAATTCAGGCATTCACAAGAAATTACTACTAGAATTCACTGGTGCCAGTATTTATCCCCGTTTAACAGGGTTATGGAGTGATGCTGAAACTATGAATGTGACTAAAAAACTAGGAAAAAATAATCATACTGACGTACTTCTGCTTAATGGAACTATGTTGCATGTAATCTCTATTCAAAAAGTCCCTTTCAGTATTAATACATCCATATATACTCCATATATACTTCAGTCTAAATGACATGTATTCAGAGTATTCGAAATGTTTTAGTCAGTTACTTTAGCATAACCTCAGCCTAATCCTGCACAGAATAACTTCAGAGGAAATGGGCCTGTTGCAAACTTTTGCTAGAGCGGAAAAATAGTTTTTTCCTATAGATAATGTCTCAAAAAGCACTATGAGCGCATCGGAAAACTCTGGAAGTGCCCTCCTAAATTCATAATCTGCGTAAGCAACTTGCTTTTTTTGAGCACCCCGCTTCAAAAACGATACTACGGCACAGGTGAACAATTCGTCAGAGGAGTCGTACCATCCGACTCCTCCTCAAGAGGATGCTTCTCAACAATCAACATGGCCAACGCCAATCTGCCAATACACATATGCCTGGACAAGAGTTTAATCCAGCGTGTTTACATTCACGATATCTTCCTTGTGCTCCCGATCGAAATTTTCTTGCGGAAGCGACGGCTAAGCAGGGTGTTGCTTATGCGAAAGAGTTGAGTGGAATGATTCCTCCAACAAAATTTACTCCTGAGTCGTAGTATCGGAGTACCAATATGATAGTTCGTTTTTAAAAAAAACGTAGTTTTATTTTAACTTCATTTTATTTTTTCATTTTACTTGAATTGTTTACTTTGTTTCATTTGTTTACTTTTTTTTATTTTTAACTACTTTTTTAACGTTATTTTATTTTATTTTATAACCTCATTTTATTTTTCTACTTTATTTTATTTTTTGACTTTATTTTACTTTTGACTCTATTTCATTTTATTACTTTTTTTATTTTTTTGCTTTTTTATTTTTTTACTGTATTTTTTTTACTTTATTTTTTTTTACTTTTTTTTATTTTTTGACTTTATTTTATTGTTTGACTTTATTTCATTTTTTGACTATATTTTATTTTTTGACTTTTTTTTTATTTTTTTACTTCTGCTCCTCTTCTTCGGCGCTAAGCTTTACGGCGCCACGAACTCTTCCTTTAAGGGCGATTCTCAATCTGACGCCCCCTCCTTTTTCTCTCTTTCTCTCTTCGTCACATTCTTTCAACCCCTTCGTCAATCAACAACTCTTTCTCACTCTACATATCTTCATCTTTCTCTTCCTAAGTCATTCTTGTTGCCCTGCCTTTTAGGTGGCTGCCTGCGAGACTATCCTCGGGATGACTTCTTTTCTTCTTCTCTTTCCTATCCCACTTTTCTAGGTGTTCTCTAACATTAAATGGTCCCTCGGGCCGGATTCACTAGGTGCATCCGGTGAGATTGTGACACTGGCACTAAGGTGTTAGTTTCCATTTAGCTTTCATTCTCTTACACAGCTTTCAAGCAAAATAAACAAGGTATTTTCTTCAATCAACAAATCAGTCGACTTTTGCTAAGCTTGGTCATCGTTGTTCCCTCAGCAATATGGCGAAAACACGAAAAAATCGCCAACAAAGCTTCAGCGACGAGAATACAAGGGAAACCCTTGTTAATCAAAATGCCCCTTCAAACAAGGGGAAGGTACCTGCTCTTGCAGCAAAGCGAAATGCTATCTTCAATCATGAGAAATCAATTCTTGAAATTTTCGAAATTGAACTCTCAAGCGATAATTTTCACCAGTTCGAGAGTTTTTACAATGATTTAGCATCTGAACGCGCTAAATTTGATGAAACCCAAGCGGAGATTTTCATCGTGAATTCAACCCTTCCAGAAACCGCTCAAATTGAGACAAAATCAAGTCAAATAGAGTTTACCAAGTTGCGTCTCCGCACTCAACAAGCTTACCTCTCTCAAAAACCCAGACCATTTGAAAGTCTGAACAATCCAAACATTTCTGAAATTTCAAGACAAACTTCGAGATGTGTAAAGCTGCCAAAATTGGTTCTTCCCAAATTCTCAGGAAAAATCGAAGATTGGCGTTCATTTCATAGTCTTTTCACTGTCTCTATTCATGAAGCCGCAGATCTTGCAGCCGTTCAAAAATTCCAATATCTCTTGACCGCTCTAAGCGGAGAGGCCCTAGATCTAGTGAAGGGACTCGCAATCACAGAAGCCAATTACACTGTAGCTTGGAATTTGTTAAGCCAAAGGTACCAATGCGAAAGAAGGCACATTTACCATCACTTTTGGGGATTGCTTGAGCTCTCAGAATTGACTAAAGTGGAGCAGATCCCACAAATTCTAACCAAATTTCGAGAGCACACACAGGCTCTGGAAGGTCTCAATCAGCATCTAAAGGATTATTCATCCCTTTTGACCGCAGTCATCATCCAAAAAATGAATCGATATTTCAGAAGGCGTTTCGACGATTTCAGAGGCGCTGATACAAAATATCCAGAACTTGAGGAGCTAGTTCAATTCCTGGAAAAGGAATGCCTTCAAGTTGACGAATCATACTCGTCCGGTTCCACTCAATCAAAACCAACTCATGCGCTCATAGCTACCAATGAGCCTTCAAGGCCGCAAAAGGCCCTACATTCAAGAAGCCCATCACCGGCACCAGCAAGCAACAGTAGGGATGAAACCCTCCAACCAAAACGGGCATGTATCCTGTGTAGGCAGTTTCATTTTCTGCCCTATTGCTAGCTATACTTGCAAAAAACTCCACAAGAGCGTAGAGAACTCATAAACAAAAACAATCTCTGCCAAAATTGCTTAAGACCTCATCCTACA